CCTTTTCCAGTAAATTAACACTTGATTTTTTCCTTTCCTTTCTTTTCTTCCTTAATCCAAACAAAAATTTAGAGTTTCATTTCTTTTCCCTCTATATTTGATCCAAACAAGAAATATAGAAATCACTCTTCTCTAGTCTCCTTTCCTTTCTTTTTCATTGGTGTCCTTTTCTTTCCTTTCCCTTGCTTTCCTTCAATCCAAACAGTGCTTAGAAAGTGGGGAGCGAAGGGAGGCTTGTAGTCATATATAAGAACAACTCAACAATAATTGTTGACATTACTACTTCTAATTATAGATTTATAAGTGTGTACAAACAGGCCTCACCGATCCAACGAAAACCCTTATATCAAATTCATGGTATAAGTGCGTTATATATAACTATAAGAAAATTCTAAAGTTAACCGCTCCTTCAAATTGTATCTCTTTATGATAACAACGATCCATATTTTAAATTCAGAGTTCTTCTATTCTACGTTCTAAGAGTACAAGACAAGAGTGGAACTAATAGTTTGTTATCTTAAAAAGTATAAATTTTCTTCGCGAAAGTTAGCCTGAATTCTAGGGGTGGATGATAATATATGAAATTTATACTGAAGTCATTCTCCATATTTTGTGCGTTTATTCTATGCCCTTAGGAGGTAAAATAGACGAAACCTTTAAATAATTCAAATTATTAGAATCTCATGGCAAAAAAAAAAACAATTAATTCATTATTAACGGATAAATTTAACTTGATGACATGATATCTACTAGAAGAGACTATAAAATCTCCTATAACTATATCATCCATATATAAGTAGAACTACAAAGCGTATATATATGTTATTACTTTCTATGTATGGTCTGTTTATGACTAAAACCTTTTAAACTAGTAGACAATATCAAAACTTAAAACCATTTGGACCAACCATCACACTGTTTTAGCATATTTAGTTTTGACTTAAACTCTTAAACAAGTAGACAATTTCAGATTTGAAACCATTTGAACTTATTCTTACTTCTCACTTAAACCTTTTAAACTACTAAAGAAAAAAAATTGGATTTAAAACCATTTTGAGCTGTTTACCAATGCATATTTAGGACGAAAATAGAAGAGGACAATCTGGATTGCACTAGCTAGGCGTAGATTCAAAAGATTTGCCTTCTGTTCAGCATTTTTGGTAACAATCCTAAGACCACCCAGAAACGCGAGGAAGCAGCTGCTGATAGTTTAATGAACCAGTCTAATTGGCTACCCTTCACTTTCTCTTCGCCTGCAAAAGTGGCCCATTTAAATTTGCTTGCTTTTGATTTCGGCTTCTTGCGTACGTGCACTACTCTCCACACATGTCAAGTCCAAGGATGAGCCCATTCTTCCGGAGCCTCTCCAATTGGTATTGAGTACTGTAGGACTGTCTCCAATTGGTGTTTGACAAGTTGTTTACTAGATGGGATTTAAAATCCCTCTTAAAAATCCAAATCCCACGTCTTCAAGTTTAAAAGATCTAGAAGATATGCCAATACTTTTTTTTTTTTTTTTTTGGACACGAAAGACCTACACTTACTTTATACTAGGAGAGAGGGGACCTGAATAGTTCCAAAAAAAAAATCGGAGGGGACTGAACCACCACCGATTCAGATAGATGCACTACACACCCATCTAGAGAGCCACTTAAAATAGTAGGCCACATATAGTTACAAATAACCTTAAACCTTGCCTCCCACCAAGCCTTACATGCTAGCGTGGTGGCCAATAGCCAAATGGCTGTTGGTTTAGAAGATATGCCAATTCACTTCTCTAGTTTAGATGGGCCTTACCTCTACCCCATTTGGGATAACACAGTTGAGTTCAATAAAGATATTAAAAATATTGTTACCATCATTTGGGCCACATTTATTGTGAGAGAGTCCTTTAGCATGTGTCCATGTTACAAGTTGCAAGTAATGGGGACTTGATGTCAACAGGCTTGAATTAAGACTTGTGCGATTTCTTAGGATAAAGTAGGGGAGTTGGATAGGGGAAGTAGAGAAAAAGAAGGTAAATAACGAAGGATTGAGACCATTCTTTTATTTGTCTTAACCGTTAACGCTTTAGACTTGCCATCATTTTCGCTTCGTTAATCATTTTCTGTTTTATGTTTTACAAGAGAGCCCAAAGAAATTGAGCAGTATTTATATTTCCAGAGGTATACATTAATAATACGCATTTTTGGTAAATAGACGATCACAAGTGATGTCCTATTTTAGAGGAGGGGAACTTAACAACGCAACCAAAAGCAAACCCCGTGGCCATCTGCACATACCACCAAGGTTAGGTATTTCTACCAAAAAAAAAAAAAAAAACCAAAGGTAGTTTAGGGAAAGGAACCATTAGAACCATTATTTTGTATTGATTTTAACCATAATCCTCTAACTCAATAAATATATATTTTTTTCGAATGTGAATTTTATGCTAATATGACAGGTAATATGCTTTCTGATGTTTGGTTTTTCTGTCTTGGCAAGTTGAAAAACTAAAAAAGGAAAAAGAAAATAGCAACAAATTAGCTTTGCTTGGATTGTAATTTTTTGTAGAAAATTTTTTACGTTTTTCGTGAATATATTTTTTAATTATTTTTTTTATTTCACATACATCAAATAGTAAAGTACATTTTTCTTCGAAAACTCCTAAAAATACCAATTGAAGCAGGCCTGAGTCTGCCTCTTGAGGACATTAGACTCTTGTCATGTTTGGCAAAGTAAAAATGTCGAGCGATCCCTCTTGTTACAAGAAGTTGATGTTTGGTGGTCACTTGAAGATTGCCATTCAGCTGCGTTTTCCCTCCCTAGAGTTCTTTCGTTTGGGTCCATCTTTAGTTGGGAGAGAAGGAAATTGCATGGATTCTAATGCAGCACAGTTTTTAAGGTGCATGCAATATTTTTCATGTAATGGATCGTAAAATCATTTGTCCACATTATTAATCATTTTGATACACCGTCTAATTTGCAACATTGTTAAAACATGATGTTGAAAACTACGTATAATTGGATTAATCTGTCTTACGCTGACAGTGTATACACTATCAGTATTGAATGAATGACAATTATGTAAAATTTGAATTTAAAATTTAATTTTTACACACATGTAGAGCTGTAAACGAACCGAATCGAACCGAGTATCTCATGTTTGAGCTCTGTTCGTTAAGCAGTTCGAACAACGTTCGTGTTCGTTCGTTAATTTTCGAACTCCAAACCTGTGTTCGTGTTCGGTTCGTTAAGTAAAATTCGTGTTCGAGTTCGAGTTCGACTCGTTTAACATAAACGAGCCGTTCGCGAACATGTTCGAATGCTCGAATCCAAATTATTTTATGCCTTAAATATGCCATGCGAATTATTAATCATTCTAAAAAATAATTAAAGCACTAAGTGACTAAATTCTATTATTCATTAACTATATAACTAACATTAACATAAAAATAACAAATAAAACAAAGAAATTTGCCCTCCAAATATAAAAGTCCAACCATAAAATTAACCCAAAAATTTGTTAAATGATAATTATGTCTATGTTCGCGAACGTTCGTTAAAACTCGCGAACATGCTCGTGTTCGCTCGATTATTAATCGAACAAAAAAATTCGTTCGAACTCGGTTCGTTTAAAATTTCGAACGAGCCTTTCACGAACACGAACGAGCCGAAACGTACCGAGCTACCGAACAGCTCGGTTCGTTTAACAGCTCTACACACATGTCATGAATCCAATACTGATAGTGTATACACAGTCACTGTAGGAAAAATTTACTCATAAAGTTTTATCCAATTGTATATTTTTTTTCTCAACATTTAGAATTTAGAATTTGGCCAATCATGCAGGGCTCCTATTTCTACTTTAGTTAGCGGACTCCTTTTGTTTGTTATTGTGTCAGGCACATGCAAGTCTACTGAAGTCTAGTCCAAGAAGGTGTCTGTTATCTTGTTCCTATTCAAGTATTGCAGTCATGCTGCTCTGGAGTAAAAACTCCTAAATTAAAGGGTAAACTACCTTTTAATCTCCCATATTTAAGATTTTCCTTCATAATTTTTCTTACCTTTGATCCTTTACATTTAGGATTTTTACTCATAACTTCTCAAATGAAGGGTACATTTGCTTTTACTTAACAGAGGTCAGGTTTGACCCCCTCTAATTCGCTGTGTTCTTTTACGTTATAACTTTTAGGTTATAAATAAATTAAGGAATGACATCCCTATTTAAAAAAAAAAAAAAAAAAAAAAGAAAGAAGGGTACGTTTGTTTATTTGACAAATGACATCTACTACATTTCCTTTACTTCCCAGTTCCCACGTACGTTTTGATTTCTTTTTTCACTTTTGATTTCTGTTTTATTCTTCAGTTTTATTTATTCTCCTTCCTCGGAAAGCCCTAAGAAGCAACACCACATGTAGCCATGAGCCATGGCTGCAAGTTATAGCAGTGATATACTGAAATAAAGAAACCTACTGTCTATAGTAGCAAAAAATTAATTTGTGGGGGTCATCTGAACCCACAGCTTTACTCCAGAAATATAAAAACAGGCAGAAGATCGAGATTGTGATTTTGTGGGAATTTATTTCTCGAAAGAATCTGTTTTAGGGTGTCCACTAGGTATGCCCAAACTTCATGTATTGCAGGCTTTCAGGCCAGTCCTATACTTCAGCAAGAAAAGCTTTTAGGTGGTTATCATCCTTCAGGTTCATGTTACTGTCAGAGAGTACCAACATGAACTAAGGTCTGCAAACATTGTAGCCAATACATTAATCTCTTCCTAGATTAAAACCAAGAAAGAAAAAACTTGTCAGGGCCTCTAGTCTAAGTATTTGCTGCTTGGGGATGTGTGTGTTAGCCAAGGATTAATGACTCTGCAAAATTTTTACATATCTATTCCAGTTAAATGAAAAAGCCTGAATTGGCAAAAAGAGCATATTAAACCACTCAATTGCACATCATCGGCTATAAATGAGGGAACAAAGTTGAGAAAAAGCGCACAAAATAATTCAAAATAATTCCTATTCATTTTCGAATTGTAGGATAGAAAATATGGTCTGCACAAATGTCAGAATGAGCAACACAATTGACATGACGGACCAGTGGTTTTCGATATAATTCCTCATCAGATGAGCCCTCCAGATGTTCCAACGCCGGCTAGAATACTCGTTCACTTGCTTGAAAACTCTCGAGTAACAGAAGACATCGTTGCCTGTATAAGTCTCGACCTCCTTCACAAGTCCATTAAACACTGAAGATATCGCTTCATCATCACCTAACCATTTGGTTATAATTTTTTGGCGTCGAAGCTTTTCAACATCCCTTGAGGAAGCAATGAGACTATCCATGAACGTGACATAATCAATTACATATCTTCTATCATACAGTCCATTAATCATGTAAAGTTCAAACCCAATTAAGTTTCTGAAGACGCATTCTGTAACATCATGAACGTCCAGAGTCGGGATTTTCATTACCCCCTTTTCAAAAGCAATATCCAGCCACGATACACTTTTGTTAGCCGTCTCAAACTTTATCCCGGCTTGTCGTAGCTCGCTTGCGCATTTTATGTGCTCGTTCACCTCGCCACTTGTGGAACAATTGTCTTGCGAATCCCCATTCTCTTGGCTTTGATGATCAGCTGCTGGTTTTGAAGCAAATGGAAAACAGTGCAAGATGCTAGTAATTTTGGGTAGCTGGGTTGCGGATACACCTTTCTCCAAATCCCAGCCGCTTGTGGAATAAATGTCACCTGGATCCCCGTTTTCTGGGCTTCGATTACCACCTGCTAGTTTTCCAGCAAATGACCAACACCAGCACTCGTGCAACAGGTGAAGAAGATGAACGACATCTCCAACATTTCCAGCAATGTTTGTGGTAGGATTCGGTAATGATACAGGTTTCTCACCTGGGAAAAAGAGATGCAGAGGTGAATGAGGGAAAATGGCAAGATCAACGAGGTTCTCCTCCTCAGCTCCTCCAGGTGACTTGGTCATTTCAAACAGACGAACCAGGATGAAGAAAGGCAGTTGATTTTCAAACAGTAGTATGTCCCTGAACAGACATCCCATTATCCTACGATTCAGGAAGATGGGATCACCTTGTTTTGGGCCGTAATTAAGGGGATAATCTTTGTACAGGCACCAACCAGCATATTTCCTCAAAATCTCAATGATAAAGAACCCGTCAAGTAGCATCATTTCAACAAATTCATCAGTACCAAGACCAATCATATCTTCTTCTGCATACCAACTTCGAGCTTCATCTTCAAGGTCTTTTAAGGCATTGATGTATCTCTCAGTACTTGACTCGCCTCTTCGAAGGAGAAGCTCTTTCAAGTACCACAGCTTATACGTCTGCGATTTTACCAAGTTTTCCTTACCGTGATGATAAGGCCCGATAGAGAACATCTGTGGTTCGTACGCCACTTCATTTTGGCTGCGAAGTTTATGATCGACTCTGAAAATCCGTTGCTTGCTAAATGAATTTGATAGCCCAGAAAGCTTTCGATCAATACGAGTGGTCAGTCCTTTGTCCTCAGACATCTTAGTATATGTTGTTGAGTAGAATCAGAATACCACTGCAAGACCAAAGTGACAGAAAATTAATCACAAGGTTGGTTTCAGAAACGGTAAAGCAGACCAATTGTGGCAAGATTAAACTCGCTACTACTCAATTCTCCTTCAGAGTACTCGCATCTTACCCGAAAACCAACAATTTGCGTAGCTATCTGCGAGTAATCTTGGTTTGCTCGAGTACAGGCAGGTACAAAAATTGTCTTTGTTACAAATGCACTTGAGGCCCGGCCAGGATTTTATAGTGCAGCAGTAGCTCGTGAAAATAAAGAATTACTACTTTGTAAGTCTTATTCTTGAGAAGATGCAGCTAGTACTCAAAAGCAAATGGTACTTAGCTGATACATCCAAATTGCTGTGTAAGATGCCAAGCAGTTTCCTTCAGTAAATTACTATGTGTACGGACCCCTTTATGGTAGGAACGCATTGACCGTTCCTACCGTGGGCTTGCTCTGCGTGTCTAGACAAGAAATTGACACATCATGGACTGGCCATGGTTGAATTGTTTGTGGCCCAAAACCATTTGGACTACGAAGCACAGATCACGCGCTTGGCAAGGTGAACTCGTCAGGCCTGAGAAAAATTCTACACTACAGCAACTGTACTGCAATGCTTCGTTCGAATTTAATTAACTTTTGTCTTCACTTCTCCCATTTTGGTATTTGCAGCACTTTTATGAAAGGCTTGCCATGTTACTAAATTCTAATGTTATCTTTCAAATGTTACACTAGATCTCACTTACACTCATGCTTCCTAACAATTGTTATTTTATTTTTTTTGGTAAGAACAATTTTTATTTTATGACAGTACTAGTTTCGTTCCTAATTCATTTACAACGGTGCTTTGCATTTTTCACATTTTTTATTTTTTATTTAATAGAAAATTTTATAGAACAACTTAAAATGCTAGTGTATAAGAGTGAATATAGTATTTGTGATACAAGGATTCAAATTAAACAGATTAAAAATTGTTAACTTATAACAACTTAATATTTAGTTGTAATTGAATATTATCCCGTAGTTGAATTGCATTTACTCTAATTAATAGTGGTAAGTCAACATATAAGCGAAGGATATGTAGTACTTGATGAACTGAATTTCTATTCAAGGTATTAAATGCTAAGTTCAGTAAATTTGGAGAGCACTTACAACGCCATGATTACATGCATACTACTTTGGACTACATCCATTTTCAAAGGAGAGAGAGCATAAGAATAATAAAAATGTATAGGAATGAATGGCTGTTTATACAAATTAAAAGATATTTAAGTCAAATCCAAAATATAAAATTTAGAATATTGAAAATAAAACAAATTTAATTGAATTGCAACAAATAGTGACTGATTTTGCATAATTGTAGCGTTCGTGTTCCATTATTATAATTTACATTTTATACAAATGAAAGTTTCATTCAATATGACGGTTAATTAACTTAAGGTTTTCTTTGAATGATCAAAACATACATATAGTGACTCTTTGTAAAACATTTTTAAAAAAATATAACCACTATCCATAACAAAGGCACGCCAAAATGCTCAAAATACCCATATATCAATACCCTTTTCTTTATTAACTACACAACATATCCTTTCAAAATCTCAACTAATATAAGTATTTTTGACAAGTCACTATAACCCCAAATGAACCCAAAGAAAGACTCAAGTCAGCAAAAATAACAAAGCAACACTATGTCAACAAAAATAACAAAGCAATACTATGTACTTGTATATAATAATAATAATAAAAGGAAAAAATATAAATACTAATGAAAGTAGCTATTTAAGACCGATTTGAATTACTATAAACAAAACCTTATCATTAGCACTGAATTTCAATTATGAAATATCTAAACTAGCACATGAAAAGAATAAAAATTGGGTTTCTCTAATGGGTGCCCAATGGGCACTTGTTAATATATCCAATATTCAGCTAATCTACCATATATATACACATATTAACAATTATTACTTTTCCTTATATTTACATACCTTTCTTATTTAATCTTACCTACCACCTTTTGTATTTATTTGCTTTTCCTAATTAATCATATATTTCTAAAAATATGACACCTAAAATATATTCTAACGGGTGCCCAAGGCCATTAAAAATTAGCCTTGTGTAGTTGTATTTTTTACTTTATTCTAGTACGTACTTGTTTCAAAATAGTTCATATCAAAATCCAAAGGAAGATTTTAAATGCCTGTATTAGCTTTTTTTAGCATTATTGATAGATACTATCCTTAGGAATGGGCAAGAGTCGGGTACCCGCCCTATGCACCATTTGATTGACCTGATCAGTACGTTGCAGGTAAGTCATCTTTTAACCCTTACCCACCCCACACATTAGTGGGTACCCCATTATATTCTACATATTCATATAAGGTTTAACAAAGATTTTTTTTTTTTTCAAAAAAAGTCTCCCACCAAGAAACAAATATGTGAAGAGAATACAAGAAAAAGGGGAAAAATTAAAAGAATTCAAAATCAATAAAAATTTAAAATAAATAGCACATTTTTTAAAATATATATTCCATATTAATTAAAATCATTTCTAAAAAAATATAAGATTATGGCCTCTACAAATGAATCTTGTAAATAAATTATAGTTTTTCATATTTTTAATGCAATTTATTGAATGAAATTTAGTTCTAAAAATATTATTTTATATATATATAAATAAAAAATATATGGGGGCAGGTCGAGTATCCGTGATTTTTTAATTATGTGATCATAACCCGTCCCATATCTAAGCTATTACTCTACCCTCTTTTAATCCGATCAAATAATATGAATTAGATATCCTAATTTTTAGATCAAATCAAATCGGATATGGCGGATTTTCAAGTTAGTGGGTATTATTGCCCTACCCTTAACTATCCCAAATAAAGAACATGAAATGTAAAAACTACCATCATTTGTTTATTTCTTTTTTGAAATTGATATTATTTTTTAATTTTGATATTTCCTAAGTTATTTTTTATTTTGTTCTTGCCAAATTAATAATATGTTTTTGGGTAGTGTCCAACCAAAAAGTTAAAGTGTTATCTTTTCATACATAAATTTGTTCTTTTGATTTTTTAACTTTAGACAATATAAATATTTTATGTTTATAAATTGGACATTTTAATTTAATGTTTAAATAGTAGTTACATATTTAAGTTAGAATTATCAAAGGTAATAATACATATTTCTATTGGAATTACCTAAAAGAATGCCTGGAGTAAATGTTAGTTCTTTTTTGAATTTGACAATTTGTTTTATCTTTTATATTTGATAAGTTGTTTTCATTTTGTTATTACCAATTTGAAGGATTTCAATTATTATTTCCTTATTAGCAATAATCATTTGAAAGTCTGGTATTGTGTTAGTATGTTAAGTTTTGTTAAAATTTTTTAGAAATGTTACTCACACGTAAATGCCTATATGAGAAGTATGTAATTTCAAATTGTACTAGTATTTTGAATGTTGTTAATATATCAAAAATGTAACTAACTTATGACCGCATGTATAAGGTTAAAAGTAGCTAAAAAAATTAAAAAACAATGATGTATTCGGAGAATCTTGAAAAAACATTAATAATATGTATCCAAACACACAGTGGAGCCAATCACCTTCTAGGACGTGTTCCGTATTTCTTTCTGCTGACATTAGGGCTTCGAATGACTTCGTTTATGAGAGGAGTCAAAGATGACGCAGTCTTAAAAATGGAGAAAATGCCGGTTTTCATCCCTAAAATTTGGGGTAAGGACACATTTCGTTCTCCAACTTTTGGGCACGACACATTTGATGTCTGAATTAATAAATTTTTACCAATGTCATCCTCAAACGGCAATTTAGCCAATTTTTAATGAAACTGGTCACGTGAAAATCACATGACCGTTAAGTAGACTTAAATCACGTTTTTAACAAAACCTGCCAGTTTCCTGCATGCAATCAGTTAATTTTTGGCAATTTTGACTAAACATCCATCAATAAACACTTGTGTCCCGTACGTAAGGGGGGAAAAAAGCTAAAAATAAAGATAAAATGAAAAATAGGCAAGAAAAGAAATAATCAGCATGAAAAATGAAAAGGGATAATTTCACAAACATCCCTTGAGATTTTTAATAGTTACAAAAAGCTCCCCTCAAAATTTAAAAATTACATATACTTTGCATACTTTTACTATTTATATAAGAGCAAATTATTTGAGCAGCCATTGAACTATTTGACTAGTAAAAATTTGGCCCTTTAATTATTCATAACATATTTTTACCCATTGAACTATTAAAAGTATAAACTTTGAGTTATTCATAACATATTTTTACTCATTGAACTAGTATGTTTTGTATTTAACATAAATTAAATATGTGAAAGTTAAAAATAATAAAAAATTACCCATAAAATACCAGCTCTTTATGGAAAACTGGTAGGCTTTATTAAAAATGTGATTTAAGTTTACTTAACGGTCATGTGATTTTCACGTGACCAATTCCGTTAAAATTGGTTAAATTGCTGTTTGAGGATGACATTGGTAAAAAATTATTAATTCAGACATCAAATGTGTCGTGCCCAAAAGTTGAGGGACGAAATGTATCCTTACCCCAAAGTTTGGGGATGAAAACCGGCATTTTCCCCTTAAAAATGTCATGAGCGTAAAGTTAGGTGGTTTGTAATTGCATTTTTTTAGAGTTTTTGGGAAAAAAATTACAATAATACCATTTAAGATATGAGGATATATGTGGAGAGGAAAAAGCGATGGATTGAGTGGTGTGGCGAGAGTTTTTGGGGGGGAAAAATCACAATAATACCATTTAAGATATGATGATGTATGTGGTGAGGAAAAAGCGATGGATTGAGTTGTGTGGCGATGAGATGTATAAGTGAGAAATTTCGGATTTGAAACCTCTAACTTTAAAAAAAAAAAAAAATGGTTTAACGTATGTAAAACAAAAAACGTGATTGAAAAAATGTATACAAGAAATAATCACAGAAAATAGAATTATTTTTCCCAAACAATCATCCAAACAAACTGTTAAATACTTGACCACCGAATTGTAGATTCGATAAAATCTATCCTCTTATAAGCTTTCTGGATAAAATCTATCCTCTTATAAAAACAATCATCCAAACAAACTATTAAATACTTGACCACCGAATTGTAGATTCGATAAAATCTATCCTCTTATAAGCTTTCTGGATAACAATCCTTGACTACCTAGTAACGTGAGGAAGCAGCTCATAGTTTAATGAACCAGTCTTTTGATGGTTACCCTTCACTTTCTTTGCCTCCAAAAGTGGCCCATTAAATTTGTCTTTTCTCT